TACTTTATGTACACAGTACCCTCCCATCCATAGCTTCCCCAGTATATCCATAGTACCCTACCACTCCATCGCTCCCACAGTATGTCCACTGTGTGCTCCTACTCCATCGCTCACATTATGTCCACTGTGTGCTCCCACTCCATCGCTCCTACAGTATGTCCACATAATTCTCCCATTCCATAGCTCCTACTTTATGTCCACAGAACCCTCCCATCCATAGCTTCACCAGTATATCCATAGTATCCTACCACTCCATCGCTCCCACAGTATGTCCACTGTGTGCTCCTACTCCATCGCTCCCACATTATGTACACTGTGTGCTCCCACTCCATCGCTCCTACAGTATGTCCACAGAATTCTCCCATTCCATAGCTCCTACTTAATGTACACAGAACCCTCCCATCCATAGCTTCCCCAGTATATCCATAGTACCCTACCACTCCATCGCTCCCACAGTATGTCCACTGTGTGCTCTTTGGAACCCTGCAGGGATTAAGGTTATGAAACAGCTGTGGGTTTACAGATGTTAAATGAAAGTGAAATTAAAGTTGGGTTCCTCTCTTTATGAACCACCTGTGGGGGACTGTTGGCAGCGTTGGACTCCCATACACTCTGGATAATTCCAGGTATGGGGTGTGGAGGAAAGTGATGAGAACTCCTGCTTGAGGCTCACTGGATTCCATGATGCTGACTCCTTACAAACACTTTGTATGAGGGGTTACTTGGTGAAATGTACAAGCCACATCCCTCCCTCCCTAAGTTCTACAAGCACATGGCCATGCCGTTGGCAATAGCCCCAGTTTTGCCATCTCTGCCCGCATCGTTTCAGCGCCCTCCATCCGGATGTCCTGCTCCTTCACATTTCCATCCATGCTTTCGGCCAACAGCACTTGAACTCCTCTAGACGATCCCTTACATGAGCTGACAAGGCAGGCATTCTCTGTTGAATGGAGACAAATGGATGCTTAGTTGAATGATGGTACCCCAGGATAGCCTGGGGTTAAGGGTTGCAGATTATTTTCAGGCCATAGATCTGGGGTAGATCCAGTCACTCTGGAGTCTGTGCTGTTTCCTTCCCCCTCCACCCCCCGCTTTTCCTCTGGATCCATCAATTGAGTCCTGGATGAACATGTTTACCTTGGCTGCACCGCACCCGTCGTTTCTTCTGCTGGATGCCTTTGCGCACTCCTGTGTGCTGACCAAGGAGCCCGGGGCACAGTGGGCTTGCAGTGGGCTGCTAACCGCAAGGTCAGCCATTGCAACCCACCCGCTGCTCTGAGGGGACACAGAGGAGGCTTTCTGCTCCCATGGAGATTGACAGCCTTGGACACCCAGAGGGGGCGGAATGCCCTGCCCTACAGGGTTGCCTGCTAGGAGTTGGCCTCACGGCGGTCAGTGTGGCTGACCATCGTGGGTGAGGGCAATGAGCACCCCACGAGGAGGGGATGCGTCCACTGGTGATTAGGACCCTTTGGGGAGCCCTGCCCAGGTCTTCACGACACGCTTTCTGTTGAGCCCCGGTGGGTCCATGATGAGTTCCTTTTGAACACATGACAGCAGGATAACGTTCGAGAAGACGCCACTTCATAACCAAAGGTGTGACCCCCCCAAGGGCAATCAAAGGGCACCTTGCTAGCCACCACTCCCCCCTCCACACCCAGTCTCAGCACAGAAGCCAGCCACCCAGGGTGGGCACACCATGTCCAGGGCCAGATGCTTAGGCCCACATTCCAATCAGCAAGGCTCATACCTGCCCTTTGTATGCTGGCCCTGACGCTCCCCTACCCATTGCTCTCGGAACACCCCGTCCCTCCTTCCCAACAGGGTGAGAGTCAGGGAGGGACCCATGACTGCTGCCTCAATGAAAGGGAGGTGACTGAGAGAGCCCCTAGCTGCCTTTCCTGTAATCTCCTCATGTGCAGTCTCGGGAATTTCCAAACAGCTCCCAGAGACCTTTCGCAATTAAGGGTGTAGTGATACCAGGAAGGTAGGGGGCAGGTGGGCAGAGAAGGGGAAGAAACCGTGGGAGAAGGGAGACAGTGGATGATGTAAGATATGAAAATAATAATAATTTATAATTTATCAAGGAGTCACGAGGGTTGGAGTGGGGAGGGAGGGTAAGAAGAGGTGCTGTTAACAAGGGCTCCTATAGAAAGTAAATGGGTTACCGTAATCATGCCCCCTGAAGGAGTTATAACCCTTGGTGAGCAATAAAGTTGGGCTCCCTCCTGCTCTCGCTCTCTCACCAAGCGGGGCTGAGGTGAGCATGTTACCATGAAAAAAAAAAAGAAAGTAAATGTTTAGAAAATAATGATAGCAACATGTACAGATATGCTTGATACAATTGATGTATGGATTGTTATAAGAGCTATAAGAGCCCCAATAAAATGATTTAAAAAAAAGAAAAGAAAAAGAGACTCATCTGTTGTAATGTTTATTACCTCTTGAGATCCTAAGTTTGATGTGTCCCCTGCCCATTCTCAGCCTTGCTTGATAGATAGAAAGAGAGCATGTTCCACGACCCTCCCCCACAAACAAACAAACAAACAAACAAACAGACAGACAGACAGACAAACACACAAACACAAACTCAGGCCTTGAGCCCATTTGGACTCATAGTGCCCCTCTAGGACAGAGGAGAACTACCCCTAAGGGTTCCCAGGGCGGTAAGTCTTGACTGAAGCAGATGACTCATCTTTCTTCTCAGGAGCAGCTGATGGGTTTGAACCACCAGCCATTCAGTTAGCAGTGAGGCGCTTAGTCACTGTGCGTGGAAACTTGACGATAGTATGGTGTACGATGAGCAACTCTGACAACCAGTCTTGTTTGTTTTGTTCTTCTTTCCAGGTGGTCCCAGATATTGCCTGTGGGAATTCCAGCTCCAACAGCTCCTCCGGGGGCCGCCTGGTGTCCTTCGACGTGCCCCAGAACACCTCCGTGAAGTAAGACAACTCGCGCTCACAGCTGCTCAGCTCGGCGCTGGGCCCCTCTGCCGGCTGCACGTCTGTTCACAAGGAGTCGGTAGCCAGTTGGGACAGTGAGGATGTAGATGCTGCCCGGTACCTTGGATGAAGCTAGAACAGTTAGGATCAACGTGAAGGCTGGAAATGGGGGGTTGTGGGATTGGATCAGAGTGGGTGCAAGGTAGGAAGGCCGGAGGCCAGAGAGAAGACCCGAGTGACCGTGAGCTTCCAAAATGATTCAGTCTCTTAAAATCTTCATTCAGAGCCCTGGTGGTGTTGAGCAGGGGTCCTCAAACTTTTTAAACAGGGGGCCAGTCACTGTCCCTCAGACCCGTTGGAGGGCCGAACTATCGTTTAAAAATAACCTATGAACAAATTCCTATGCACACTGCATATATCTTATTTTGAAGTAAAAAAAAACCCAAATGGGGCAAACACACCTGGCGGACTGGATAAAGGTCCTTGGTGGGCCGCATGTGGCCTGCGGGGCCGTAGTTTGAGGACGCCTCAACATGTAGAGGTTACATGTGAAGGATGCTGTGGGGGAAGCCAGCCCCTCACACTATCACGGGTTCAGTAAGGCAATTGTACGGTTAGAATATATCAAGATTATAGTACAGTCACAGAGAATGGGAGAGAGAGAAGTGAGAGTCAAATAAAGAAGTCTGACACATTTCATGGTGCATGCTCACCTGGATGGCCATGCCCTCACCAGCCAGGTCTATGCACAGGGAGGGCAGAGGGAGCAGGAGAGAGAGTGCTTTACTTCTAACCAAGGCTTATATATCTTTTGGAGTGTGCAAGCCCCCTAATTACAGGTAAAGCCATACATCACAGGAAGGGATCGTACTATAGGTAATGCAGTAATGGGAGGAGGATGATCTACGTGTGTACACACTATAGGAAGAAGAGGGATTAAGGGTATACAGGTGAGAAGATGGGCTGATCCCAGATGCCTGGTGGCAGCCTAACCTTGTCCTTGAGCTGGAGACTTGATTTATTCTAAGTTTTCAGGGAAGCAATCCACTGTCTCTAACAGTAGGGAGTGAGCCCAACCTACGGTGGGACAGACAATAGGGTATGCTTGCTCCGGATGGCTGGTGCTTCAGGGAGATAACTTGACAATCATTGATCATTAGTTGCAAGCAGTGTCCTAGGTCTGACATACATATTTGGGGGAGACGAGCTGGGGAACAGTCTACCTGTCCATGCCCCATTTTCCACACCCCAGATCACAGTAGCTCCTTGGAAAGCAGGCACCTTAGAGAGCAGTGTTTTCCCTGAGGTGTAACCCAGGCAGAATGGCCACCACAAGAGAAGACAGATGAGGTGGAGAGGGAGGTATGGGGGTGGGAGGGCTGGAGGGGTACCTGCTGTGTGTCTCTGCCCTGCCATGGGCCCCAGAAAAGCCAGCAGCTGGCCGTTGAGTCCAGTGGCCCCAGCTGTGCCCCCCACCCCACCCTTCGGACCACTACCCACTGTCCATCCTTCGTTGTGGTCTTTAACTCTTCCCAGCCTCCCCAAGCCCACCGGATGGGGGGCCACTGTCCAGTCATTGGAGACATTGGGAGATTGGGGGACTTGTGGGCTGGGGTAACCAGCTTCTTGTAAAGGGGGGCAGTGGGCACCATAAGAAAGAGCAGAGGGTGGCCAGTGGGCACCTTCCCAGGGCATTGTGGTCACAGTGGTGTGGCTAACGATGCTTAGAAGAGGGACTCCATTGTATTTCTTCTGTCTCCCCTTCTCCCCCACAAGCCCTGGACCCACTCAGGATGGACAGTGAATTCCACAGGCTCAGGGAGAGACTGCCCCCTGGGGAGAGGGGTGGAGCGTCCAAGGCAGCTTCCCGTTTCGGCAGCAGGGGGCGACGTGCCCCCAGTGTTTCCTGGCTGTCACACCCCACTGACCGGCTGGTTTTAAGGAAACCGGGGATCATTTCTTTCTGCTACTTCTCTGAAACCATCTCCCAGTCCTCTTGCCGAATCGCATTACCTTATTCTTGCCAGCCATTTCTAATAATCCTTATCTTCTCCACGCCTGCTCAAAAAAGCCACCCACACTCCCTGCCTTCCAGCCAGTGCCATTCATAGCGACCTATAGGACAGGGTAGACTGCCCCTGTGGGTGTCAGAGACTGTAACTCTTTACTGGAGTAGAACACTTGGTCTTTCTCTCGAGGAGCGGCTGGTGGTTTTGAACTGCGGACCTTGAGGTTAGCAGCCCAATGGCACTGAAACTGGTGTTTGAAAATACGTGTTTAAAATCTTTCCTCCCCACAACCTGGGTCCCTCTAAGATGCCTCTCAGCCCCCCCCCCCCGCAGGGGTGGTCCTGCAGACTGGACCCAGGCTGAATGGAATGGGATGATGGATGATCTCAGGGTGCCTGGACTCCACTTGTGGGCAACTGTCCCCCCTCTCTCTCAATTACTCCCCCCCTCAGTTGTTTATCAAATCTCCCAGAGTGCCCTGCTGCAAGCTTGTGCCAACTCTTCTCTGATGGGACTCAGCTGACCGTGCCCCCTAGCAGGTGGGGGTGGGGTGGGATGGTTTACAGCAGAAGAAGGGAGGATCACAGGGCTGGGCTGAGATGTGGGCCACACCTCGGAGGGCAGCAACGTCTTTCAGGTGGGAGAGAAACCCAGCAGCCATGGAGCCAACCCCAGGTGTGTCCCAGTCGACCTGGCTCTGTAGGGTTTTCCATGTCTGGGTGTTCAGAAGTGGATCACCAGATCTCTCTCTCTCTTTTTAAGAAATTATGTTGTTTTTTTTTAATAAATCATTTCACTGGGGGCTCTTACAGCTCTTATAACACCCATACATCCATTGCCTCAAGCACATTTGTACATACGTGAGGCACCCCTGGGTGGGTCTTTTGGTTAGTATCCAACTCTGCGAACTGTTTGCACAAACAAAACAAAACAAAACATGCACTCACTGCCATCGAGTCAGTGCCGGTGCACAGCGACTCTATAGGACAGGGTAGAACTGCCCCTAGGGGTTTCTGCGACTGTCCTGTTCATGGCAGGAGAAAGCCCTGTCTTTCCCCCCTGGAGCAGCTGGTGGTTTTGAACTGCTGACCTTGTGGATCACAGCCCGGTGCATAACTGCTATGCCACCAGTCTCTCTCTCTCCACTACCGCCTGAAGTTGGAAGGGTGGGGAGTTGAGCCTGGTAGGGAGCTGGGGTCCAGGGTGACTTCAGCTGTCTGTGTGGAGCAACAGTGTATATTTGTCACGCGTGCCAGCAGGACTTTAGATGGTGTGACTGGAGCCCTTGTGGTATCGAGGTTACCCATTAGGCTGCGACGTCAACAGTTTGAAACCACCAACCACTCTGAGGGGAAAAAACCAGATCTTTCTACTCCCATAAAGAGTTACTGTCTCAGAAACTCACCGAGGCCATTCTATTGTGTCCTGTAGGATTGCTACGAGTCGGCATCAGACTCGATGGCAGTGAGTTTGATTTTTAGGGGGCCCTGGTGGCGTGGTGGGTGACAAATGGGCCTAACCACGAAGCTGCCAGTGTGAACCCACCAGTCACATTTTAGGCGAAAGACGAGACTCTTAGTTCCCATAAAGACTCACAACTCCGGAACCGCAGGGGCAGTTCGACTCTGTCCAGAGGGTTACTTAGCTACGAGTCAGAATGGGCTTGAGAGCAGTGAATGATACTGTTTGGCTATGGAAGGATTACATCTGCCAAAGCACTCAAAACAAAACCACAAAAAAAACCCCCAAAGGTCAGCAGTTCAAACCCACCAGCTGCTCCTGGAGGGAAAGATGAGGCTTTCTGCCCTGTGAAGAGGGACAGTCTCAGAAGCCTCCAGGGACAGTTCTACTTGCATTAACAAGATGGCAGCGAGTTTGTCGACTTTTTCTAGGTATTTCTAACCAACAAGGGGGCGTTACCCCCTTGAGTGCACCTCGTTAAGCCTCATGCTTGCTCCCCAGATCACGGCACCGACTTCTCGGGGGCTCTTTTGGATGTCCACACAGCCATTCTTATTTTCATTCTGAATTCGAGGAGCTGGGTTCTCAGGCGAGTTTTCCGCATGCGCCAATCTTGACTTTCCGTTTCGTGTTTTCAGAATTCGGCAGGATGCCACTGCCTCCCTGATCCTGCTGTGGAAGGTCACGGCCCCCGGCTTCCAGCAGTGCTCCCTCATCGATGGGCGCAGCGTGACCCTCCTCCAGGCTCCCGGGGGCCTGGTCCTCCTTGAGGAGATGCTGGCCCTGGGGCCCAACTACTTCATCGGTGAGTTAGGGCGTCTCTGCCCACGGCATGCTTTCAACACCCAACGTCGGATAAGCGGGAGAGGCAGGGGACAGGGAGTTTGGTCCACATCATTGGGCTTCTGGTCATCAAGCCCTGCCCTCCTCTTTTCATAAGACTTTACTTATAACCTAAACTGGCTTCCAAGATACCAGGGGGCTGCAATACGTCCATGGGGGAAATAGAATGAAGAGATAAAGGCAAATTTCCCTTGAACTCTTTGAAGCCCCTTGGGATGTCCAGCATAGCTTCAAAATGGACAAAGCTTGGGCTATGGAGTCCAAAGACTGTCCCTGCCCCAGAACAGGGCTGGAAGCTCAGGCCACAAAGGCAAATTCTCTGTGCCTCTCTTTGCCCTCGGACTCTGGCCCACATGCTCCAGGGTCTGTGGGCAACTGGAGGCCGATTGAATGTTGATGTCTCAGAAAAATAAACAAACAAACAAACAAACAAACAAAACACCGTCTTCGTTGTTATCACTTGACTTGGGCTTGGCTAAGAGGACCTCCAGGAGCCTCCAGTGGCATAGTGGGGTGTGCATTGGGCTGCTAACCTCAAGGTCAAGCTCGGAGAAAGAATTGCAGTCTTGGAAATCCACAGGGGTGGTTCTGCTTTGTCCTAAAGGGTCACGATGAGTCGGCATTGATGGCATTGAGACTAGGGACGTCGAAAAGGAAAACGCTTGTTCTCTTCTGAACCAGCAGCTCCGGAGCCATTGGTGGAGTTACGACTCCCTCTGCGCCTTCTCTACTGTCCTGTCCACCCATCTTTTCTTTGAAGGGCACTTTTGCCACTGCTCTCTTTCTTGAATCTGCCTCTGTAAGTTAGCCTTCTCTGAATGACCACATGCCCCCAAGCCCATCTTTCAATCTCTCTGCCCCTGGTGTAGAAATGACCCTGAGAAAGGGTCCCCCACACCAGCAGCTCAATGTTCTCCAAGTCTTGCCCCTGCCACCATATGTCTTAGGGCGCACACGTGGGCAGTTTTCCAGTCAGCTGGCCTCCGCTACCTCCTCACGGGTGCAACATGCTGTGGTGCCCTGCGAGGAAACCACCCCTCCCCCAGTATAGTGTTCCTTTGGAGTTAGGGTGGGCGACGGTAGCCCGTCTCATCTGCTACTTTATTGCTGGTCTCATCTGTTAGCTTTATTGGGGCTTATTCCAGTGATAGGCGGTCTCAACTCAGGGACACTGCTGAGGTTTAGCTTCTGCCCATCCCAGGTCAAGGCACCCAAGCACCTTTTTTGAATACCTTCTCTGGCCTAACCTTTTATTCCAATAGTCTTCACTCAGGGGATGGGAGTGGGGCTTGGCAGCTCCCTCTCTCAGGCCTCAATGAGGCAACAGTAGTGAAAGTACAAATGACAAATGTTGACTCTGATTCTAGGGTACTTTGCTATATGTATACACACACACACACACACACACACGAAATATTGTGTTAAACTAAATGGAAATGATAGCCTAGATAAATGTTTGATGCAACGTTTGACACACAGTGAAGATCACTGATAAAATGAAATGCTCTCCTCTTTGTAATTTCTGTCGGATGGTGTATTTGACTGGCTGTCCTCTGATGGAGAAGGCACATTTTCAATGGCTGAGACGCCAACTAGGGTTTTGTTGGGTGGAGAGACCAAAGGAGCCACAGCTGGGAGGGGGTGTGGCTGCCATAGCGAGTGGGAGTCGGACTTCAGACCCGTGTTTGCATTTGGAATTGTGTTGATGCCCTATTGCTAACAAGTCTATATTTGATTCCCCAAGTACATTCCAATGCAACACCTCCACATGGATGCTATCAATGTGTCTAGAAGGAAATCGATGGTAGGTTTTGATAAGTTGTCTCAATTTTACTCTATATTGGCTTTTGAAGTTATACTCCTTAGTGGATTCATTTATCTTTCTATGAATGAACTAGAGCTAATATTTCAAGAAAATGACCGAGATATCACTACTCTTTAAAAACCTTCTGGGTCTACCAATAGACCCGGGAGATAGCCATTCAAAACATTAGCTTATCCTTTGTTATCTAGATGTGCGATGTCAGAAATACTACACGTGGGTAGCTTTAAGAACCAGGCATTTGTCTCTCACAAGTGAGGAGGCTAGAAGTTTGAATTCAGGGCTCCAGCCTCAGTGCAAGCCGTTCTTTCTCTGTGGCCTCTGAGGGGAGGTTCTTGTTTCTTTCAACATCTGTGGCCGGGCGTTTGTGGGAGGTCTCCATGTATCCTGGCATCAATCTTCACCAGGGTCTAGGAGGTTCCAAGCACTGGGACCCCATGTCCAAAGGATGTCCTCCGTTCTTGTCTCTTCTTTCTCACTCACCCCCCTCTCTTTCCAATCTATTGGAAGACAAGAAAGTTGAGGCAGCCCGGGCCCGGGGGAATTTCCCTTACATTGGATCAAGGCTGTGACCTGAGTGAGGGTCTTGCATCCCATCCGAGTCCCCTTACAATGGAAGTGCTGATCCCACCAGATCACACATGGGAAGTGATGACATCATTTCATAACTGCCAAACCAATGAGACTCATGATCCAGTTCAAGTGGACACATCGTTTGGGGGCACACGATTCTATCCCTGACAAGTACTTTTAGTTGTGGTCAACTGTAAGCTTAGACTGACCCGGAAGTGATAAATAAGGGAAAGATGTTTCAGCGTCAGTATATTTGTATTATTTTCTGACACGAGGGATTATGGGGACTCCAACACAAATTTGTGTTCCTTGCACTAGTAGGGAGATTTCGATCACAAAACAGAGTTGTCTTTGGTTGGCATGTAGTGTTCCCCAGAGAGATAACTTTTAAAGAAATTTTATTTGAAATAGTAATAACTGAATTAAGGAATGCTTTCTCAATCATTGGAATTAGATATTGGCTAATGATGAGAAACTGGCAATTTTGAGTAAAATCATTTATTTCTATAAGCCATTTTTCTCCTTTTTGAATATTTGATGCCCTATGACTAAAAAGGTGCCCTGGTGGTATCGTGGTTATGAATTGGGCTATGAACGACAAGGTCACAGTTCAAACCCACCAGCCACCCCGAGGGACTTTTTCTCCCCGTGAAGCCTCACAGCCCTGGGAGCCTATAGTGGCTGTTCTGTGCTGTCCTGTCGGCTTGCTGTGAGTTGACCTCGGCATGGCGGCACTAAGGGGCTCTGGTTAGGTTGCTGTTTCTCTTTGAACATTTCCTGGGTATAGCTTTCGAAGTGTTTCTTGTGGCTTTGACACAGAGGTGCCAGTCTTGGCCGGCTCTTCTCTTTGAAGGGAGCAGCCAGTCTTGTCACAGACGCCCAGAGAAGACGCAGTGCTTCCTGCCAGGGATCAATTGGCCACACCTGCCCGCCGACCGCCAGCTACATCACACGGTATCTGTTCTCCTAAGGAAACGAGGCTTGTCTTCTCTAATCACTGCGCAAGCCTCTTGAGAACCACAGGGACATGTGCTTAGCATTCTTTTCTGTTTTATTTTGTAAGAAACACCTTGAAATAACCTGCATTGACAACTCGGAGTTCTCTAGACACGAATGGGTTGCCTCTAGCGACCAGAAGGCTGCTGCTTTGAAGGTACAGTGGCTTCCATCCGACAGCCAGGCGCACTGCTGCCTGTGCAGGGGGCAGAAAACTACCATCCCAGAGGGAGAGAAAACCCCCCACGTCCCATTGCTCTAGGACTCCGTTGTGGTGCCAGTGCTTAAGTGCCGAGACCACTGAGAGGCGCCACCTAAGAAAGCCCTGGCGATCTTTTCCAAGAAAGGCCACAGCCATGCAGATTCCCTGGAGTGCAGTTCTCAGCACCACCGAGGCCGCCATGAGTCGGAATTGACTGGGTGGCAAATCGCTTGGTTTGGGTTTGATCCTTTCCCTGGACTAGATTGTGAGGCACTTCTAGGACTGACCACTTCCCCCCGCCCACCCTGCTCAGTTGTTTCTCTAAACTCACTGATGGCAGACTCTGGTTTACAGTTTCTAGTGAAGAGAGCAGAGGGCTTCCTCTGTGTTTCCAGGAGCCAGGCTGGATAGTTGGTCACCAGCCTCAAAAACAATACCCTTTCAAAGCTTATTGCTGAAGGACTCATGCCCCATGGGCGCTAGATGATGACAGGGTGCTGACCTGTTATTTCAAGGGGGCCCGGGTGGCAGAGTGGTTACGTGTTGAGCTGCTAACCCAAAGGTCAGCAGTTCAAAACTACCAGTTGCACCTCAGGAGAAAGACGGGACGTTCTACTCCCGTGAAGAGTGACAGTCTCGGAAACCTGTAGGGGCAGTTCTGCCCTGTCCTGTAGGGCCTCTGTCAGTTGGAATCAACTTGATGGCAGTGACGTTGGCTTTTAGAATGTGTCTGAACTACAGTTTTCTTTTGTGGCTGTTGCAAATGGCAACGGATTGACCCTGAGACGTAGCGACCTCACGAATGACAGAATAAATCGCTGCCTGATCCTGCACCATTTTCATGTTCGCAGGTTGGCTGCCGTCTGTTGTTAGGCCCACCGGGTCCCTGGAGTCTTTTCCAACCTCCGGGGGTCATCTTTCAGTATGGTGTCACACCCTATCTGGTTGGGATTGGTAGGGTTTTGATTTTCCGAGGGTGATATTCAGGTCTTAGTCTACTTCTGCACACCAGTGGGTTAAGGGTTGGGCTGTTAACTCAAGGTTGGCAGTTCAAACCCATCAGCAGGTCCGTGGGAAGAAGATGAGACTTTCTGTTCCCATAAAGATTTACAATTTGGGAAACCTTAGAGAACAATTAAAATTTTTTTGTTTTTTGTCCGCCATCCTTGATTTAAATGTCGGTTGTAGACCTTTCATTAGACTGTGAGTGTCTCAAGAGAAGGGGCCTTGTGCCTTGAAAGCCTGCATGGTGGGTACCGGATTGACTAGACTTTGCTCATATGGAAATTGTCCTCTTCAATACGTGCCACGCGAAGGCCATTTCCTGCTACAAAATGCCAACCCAAAGAGCTCTTTCTAGATTGTCAGA